CTTCCTCCTATTCTCCTCGCTCTTCTCTGTCTCTCTGCACACCCAACAGTCTCATCTATTAACATTGTCGCCGCGAGGACGAGGGAGAGTCGAAGGCCGGCTGGATCGAGGGCCTGCCCCTCTCTCTCTGTCTCTCTCTCTCTCTCTCTCTCTCTCTCTCATGCACACACAGTCTTCACTATTACAGTCGGCCGAGACGAGGAGAGTCGAAGGCCGCTGATCGAGGGCCTCTCCCACCCTCCTTTCCCCCTAATTCTCCCTGCTCCCCCCTCTGCTCTGTCTCTCTCACACATGGTCAGTCTCACCATTGACAGTCGCCGAGGACGAGGGAGCAGTCGAAGGCCGGCTGGATGCAGAGCGAGCCTCCTCCCTCTACTCCCTCCCTCTCCTGTCATCTCCCCTCCTCCCTCGTCTCTCTCACACACAGTCTCACTATTACAGTCGCGGAGGACGAGGGAGAGTCGAAGGCCGGCTGGATCGAGGGCCTCTCTCCCTTTCTCTAGATCTCCCTCTCCCCCTCTCTCTGTCTCTCTCACACACAGTCTCACTATTACAGTCGCCGAGGACGAGGGAGAGTCGAAGGCCGGCTGGATCGCATGGCGGCCTCTCGCCCCCATCCCTTTCCTCTAGATCCCTCTTCCCTCTCTCCTGTCTGCTCTTCACACCAAGTCCTCAGCCATTACAGTCGCCGAGACCAGATTTGGGGTAGAAAAAAAAACAAAAAAAAATTGAAGGAAGAGTCGAAGGCCGTCTGGATCGAGGGCGCTGCTCTCTCTCCCTCCTCTCTGTCTCTCCCTCTCCTTCTGTCTCTCTCCATCACAGTCTCACTACATTACAGTCGGGCCGAGGACGAGGGAGAAGTCGATCAGCCTCGGCTGGACGCGGGCCTCTCCACCACCCCCTTTCTCTACGTATCTCCCTCTCCCCCTCTCTCTGTCTCTCTCACACACAGTCTCACTATACAGTCGCCCGAGGACGAGGGAGAGTCGAAGGCCGGCTGGATCGAGGGCCTCTCCCCCCCCTTTCTCTAGATCTCGCCTCCACCCCTCTTCTCTTCTCTCTCTGTCCTCTCTCTCCATTCTCTCTCTGTGCCTCCGCTCTCTCTCTGTCTCCTGTCTCTCTCTCCCTCTCCTGCTCTGTACTCTCTCAACACAGATCACATTCTCACTATTACAGTCCCGAGACGAGGGAGAGTCGAAGGCCGCTGGACGATGGGCCTCTCTCCTTCCTCTCTCTGTCTCTGTGTCTCCCTCTCCCTCCCTGCTGTCCTCTCTCCACCACAGTCCTCACTATTACAGTCGGCCGAGACCGAGGGAGAGTCGAAGGCCGCTTGGATCGAGGCCTGCCCTCTTCCTGTCTTCTCTTCCGTCCCTCTCCCTCTCTGTCCTCTCACACACAGTCTCAACTATTACCATGTCGCCGAGTGACGAGAGAGTCGAAGCCGGCTGATCGAGGGCCTACCCCTCTCTCTCTCTCTCTCTCTCTCTCTGTCTCTCTCTCTAGATCTCCCTCTCCCTCTCTCTGTCTCTCTCACACACAGTCTCACTATTACAGTCGCCGAGGACGAGGGAGAGTCGAAGGCCGCTGATCGAGGGCCTCTCTCCCTCTCTCTCTGTCTCTCTCTCTCTTCTCTAGATCTCCCTCTCCTCTCATGTCCTCCACACACAGTCTCACTATTACCAGCGCCGAGACGAGGGAGAAGTCGAAGGCCCGGCTGGAATCGAGGCCTCTCTCTCTCTCTCTCTGTCTCTCTCTCTAGATCTCCCTCTCCCCCTCTCTCTGTCTCTCTCACACACAGTCTCACTATTACAGTCGCCGAGGACGAGGGAGAGTCCGAACGTGCCGGCGGATACGAGGGCCTGCCTCCGCCTCTTCGCCTCTGCATCTCTTCTCCCCTCTCCGCTCTCTCCTGCTCTCTCGTAACACCACCGTCTCACATACAGTCGGCCGAGGACGAGGGAGAAGCTCCTGAAGGCCGGCTGCGATCGCGGGCCTGCCTCCCTCCTCATCGCCTCTCTCTCTGTCTCCTGTCTCTCCCTCTCTCCTCTGTCTCTGTCTCGACACAACAGTCTCCACTATTACAGTCGCTCGAGGACGCAGGGAGAGTCGAAGGCCGGCTGAATCGTAGGTCTTACCTCCCTCTCTCCCCTCCTGCTCTCTGTCTCTGTCTCTCGCCTCCCCTCCTCTCTGCTCTCTCAACACACGAGTTCACTATTACAGTCGCCGAGGACGAGGGAGAGTCGAAGGCCGGCTGGATCGAGGGCCTGCCTCCCTCTCTCCCTCTCTCTCTGTCTCTCTCTCTCTCTCTCTCTCTCTCCTCTCTGTCTCACCACACCAGTCTGCACTATACAGTCGCCGAGCGGACGAGGGGAGAGTCGAAGGCCGGCTGGATCGAGGGCCTACCTACCTCTCTCTCTCTCTCTCTCTCTTCTCTAACCCTCTCCCTCTCTCCCTCTCCCTCCACACAACCGTCTCACTATAACAAGTCCCGCCGAGGACAGGGAGATTGAAGCCAGGCTGATCGAGGGCCTGCCGTCCGCTCTCTCCCTCTCTCTGTCCTCTCTCTCCCCTCTTCCTCGTCTCTCTCACCACAGTCTCACCTATAACAGTCCGCCGAGGAGCGAGGGGATCGAAGCCGGCTGATCGAGTCCTTACCTCCCTCTCTCTCGTCTGTCTCTCTCTCTGTCTCTCCCTCTCCCCCTCTCTCTGTCTCTCTCACACGACAAAGTCTCACTATTACAGTCCGCCGAGGAGAGGAGAGTCCGAAGGCGCTTGGGATTGGAGGGCCTGCCACTCCCTCTCTCTCTCTCTCTCTGTCTCATCCTCTCCCTCTCTCTCTGTCTCTCTCACACACAGTCCACTATACAGTCGCCGCGAGGACGAGGGAGAGTCAGGCCGGCTGGATCGAGGCCTACCTAGCCTCTCTCCCCTCTCTCTACTGTCTCTGTCCTCCTCTCCCCTCTCTCCCTCTCCCTACTCCCACAGTCTCACTATACTAGTCGCCGAGGACCGAGGAGAAGTTGAAGGCTCCGCTGATCGAGGGCTCTATCCTCCCTCTCTCCTCTCCTCATGTTCTTCTCTCTCTAAGCATCTCGCTCCTCCCCCCTCTCTCGTCTCTTCTCACACCCACCGTCTCACATTACAGCGTCGCCGAGCGAACGAGGGAGAGTCGAAAGGCCGGCTGGATCGAGGGCGTCGCGATTCTCGTCTCCGTCGTCGTCGTCGTGCTCGTCACCGCCTTCAACGACTACACGAAGGAGAAGCAGTTCCGCGGCCTGCAGAGCCGCATCGAGCACGAGCACAAGTTCTGCGTGATCCGCGGCGGCGAGGTCATCCAGCTGCTGGTCGGCGACATCGTCGTCGGCGACATCTGCCAGGTCAAGTACGGTGAGTGCGACCTCCGCGCGACCCCGCGCGCGACCTCGCGGCGACCCCACACGGCGACCCTGAGTTCGTAAGTTCGCTGCGATCCGCGGCGGCGCGGTCATTCAGCTGCTGGTCGGCGACGTCTGCCAGGTCAAGTACGGTGAGGGCGACCTCGGCCGCGCTGACCCCACGGTGACCTCGCGTGACCTCGCGACTCCTCGTAAGTTCTCTGTCGATTTGCGACGTCGGTCTGCGAGGGCGAGCGTGACCTCGCGATGACCTTTGACCTCGTGACGACCTCGTCTGACGTCTAGCGAGTAACATGATGATGGGATATATCAGTCATGAGCCGGCCACCGTCGGCCGGACGTCGTCCGAGCGGCGCTAACTCACCAGCGTCCACTCTCTGACCAGTGTCCACTCTCTTACAGGCGACTTACTGCCGGCCGACGGCATCCTCATTCAGGGCAATGACCTGAAGGTGGACGAGAGTTCGTTGACCGGCGAGTCTGACCACGTGAAGAAGAACGAGTCGCGCGACCCGCTGCTGCTGTCCGGTGAGTGCCACGCCCCCCTGCCACGCCCCTGCCACGCCCCACCATACACCACCCCACACTCTACTATACTGCCTGCTCATAACTGTGTGCGGATCTTTTTTCGTTTTTCGTGAAAGATTTTAGTGTGCCCCCCCCCTCCTACGCGAAGACTGTTCTCTTGTCAATCGTTAAGGCGAGTGAAACTAGCTCCCTCTATGCGAAGCGTGTTCACTTTCCCGTCCCCACGATGTCGCCATAGTAACGGATGACTTTGTCATAGTCGCTATGGCGACGGATGGCTGCGTCGTGGCTGTCATGGTAACATGCAGCTTCTTCCTCATCATCGTCGTGGTAACGGATGGCTTCGTTGTTGTCGTGGTAATGGGGGGGCTTCGCTGTTGTCGCGGTAACCGATGGCTTCGTTGTTGTCGCGGTAACGGGTGGCTTCGTTGTTGTCGCGGTTACGGCTGGCTTCGTTATCATCATCGTAACGGATGCTTTCGTCGCCGTGGTAACGGACTCGTCGTGCTCGTCGTTGCAGGCACGCACGTGATGGAGGGCAGCGGGAAGATGCTGACGGTCGCCGTCGGCGTCAACTCGCAGACCGGCATCATCTTCACGCTGCTCGGCGCAGCCTCCGAGGAGCAGAGCAAGGCCGACAAGCAGCAGAAGAAGAAGAAGAAGAAGAAGAAGGGTGAGCGAGAGTGGGGCGAGGGCGGGCGACGACGCCAGGTGGCGGCGGCGAGGTGGTGGGTGAGGGTGCGACTGGCAACTAGGTGGCATGGGTGGCTGGCAAGTTGCCTGAGTGAGTGTTGGAGTGGAAGTGGCAAGGTGCTTGAGGGTGCGACTGGCAAGTATGTGGCATGGGTGGCTGGCAAGTTGCCTGAGTGCGTGTTGGAGTGGAAGTGGTAAGTACTTGCCTCCTGTTTCCTCGCGTGGCTTCCTCTAGTGGGTTCCTGTTCAGCTTCCTTTTGTGTGTAGTTGTTCATCGATTTAGAATAGTGATCTGTCTGTTTGCCTGCCTGCCTGCCTGCCTACCTGCCTGCCTACCTGCCTGCCTGCCTGCCTGCTTGTCTGCCTGCGGGCGTGTCTGCCTCCCTGCCTGCCTGTCTGCCTGCACGCGTGTCTGTCTGTCTGCCTGCCTATCTGCCTACTTATCTGCCTGCCTGCCTGCCTACCTGCATATCTGCCTACCTAGCTGCCTACCTGCCTGCCTGCCTACCTGTCTGCCTGCCTGCCTGCCTGCCTGCCTGCCTGCCTGTCTGTCTTCCTGCCTGCCTTGAACCTACCACTAGTGAAGAAAGAGGATGCACAGTACTGAAAGGCCGACGTACACATTCGACGGAGGATCGAAATCGTTAATTTCGAAATCAGTTTCGCTCGCATAATTATGACCGTTGCGTGTCGTCGATTCTCGATCGCCGCGGCGACGAAACCGCGCGAACAGCTCGCTGGCCTACTGCATCCTCTTCCTCAGCATCCCGCCGCATTTCACTGTCTCCCGTCGCTCGCTGATCAATGTCGCCCGGAAGAAAATTAGCGTACAAATAGCTTCTGGGTTCGTCATTTTCGTGTTTGTCGACGACGCCGTCGGACCGGAGTCGCCCGCACGCATTCGCGGTCAATAGAGCGTTGGATCGCCCCCTTGCGAGGCATGTCCCTCTCCGCTTACCCTTCCCTAATAGCAGCTATATTAATTGATTAATTAATTAATTGATTCCATTGCCCATCCCCCTGTATCCCTTGGTTCCCTCGACCTCCCCCCATCCCTGCATGCAGTAGTAGCAGTAATGTATACGCCATATTTTTTGCGTACAGATATTTTCGCGAATTCAGACTTGACGGACAAATTTGACGAGTGCTTAATTTTGCGGTCGTCGAATTATGAATTATTTGGTATTATTCGCTATGAATTATTTGCGTGTTGTTATTGTCGCGGTCCGGGGACGCGTTGGCGAAATTCGCGTAGAATTAAACCACCGCGTAATAGGCAGCTTATATATAGAGTATTCTTCGATGGCTGGCCCTCACTGCGCTATAAACTAACTCCTTGTCCCGCGTGTGGCGAGGCAATCACGACAGATGTGCAACGCGTTTTTGATGAAGCCATATTCATCATGTTTTCCCCGGTTCAGCATCCGACAGAAACGCGAGGCGTGGATGGGCGAAGAAAGAAGGAGAAAGAGGAGGAGGACGAGGAGGAGGGGGGAGGGAGAGGAGGAGGAGGACGAGGAGAGGGAAGGAAGAGGAGGAGGGGGGAGGGAGAGGATAAGGGGGCGCGAGAGAAGAGCAGGGAAGAGAGCATGTGAAATGGGATGGGAGGAGATAGGAGAAAGAGGAGGGGAGGAAGAGGAGGAGGGGGAGGAAGATGAGGAGGACGACGAGGAGGGGGGAGGAAGAGGACGAGCAGGGGAAGGAAGAGGAGGAGGACGACGAGGACGGGGGAGGAAGAGGAGGGGGAGGAAGAGGAGAAGGAGGATGAGGGGGACGACGATGTGGGGGGAGGAAGGTGAGGAAGATGAAGAGGAGGAGGAGGAGAGGGGAGGAGGAGGATGGGAAGAGAGCAGGATTGGGAGCGCTCTCTCTCGTACAGTCGCATCACGATCCGCACATCGACGTAATTGCGCTTTCGAGCGGCACGGTCGGTTTTTTCCCGCGGCCGCTAGATAATTATTCGCGGACACTGCAGCGACGACGACGCGTGCTGCGGGGACGGTCCCTCGCCGCAGCACAGGGGGCGTCACCGTGCAGATTTACGGCGCGGGCAGTGCGACGTGTGATGTGCGCCCGCGCATCAGCGTGCACAGTTATTCTAACGCAACTACTGNGAGAGAGAGACAGAGAGAGATGAGAGAGAGAGCGAGCGCGAGAGAGCGAGAAAGAGAGGGAGAAAGGGAATGAGGGAAAGAAGACCGAAATAGAAAGAGAGAGAATAAAGAAAGAGAGTTAGGGGAGCCCCTGAAGGAAGCCCAGCTTAGCTATCAAGGGGGAATGATAGCGAGTAGGGACACGGCATCTCTCTATAATTTACGTAGTTAGTGTACGTTTAGTTACCCTCATGTCCCCGGCTACACATTATATCAGGGGTTAATAATGACAAATTTTGTCATTATTTGACAATTATTGACATTATTTGACATTATTTGTCAATAATTGACCAATTTTTTGTCATTATTAACCCCTGATTATATATATATATATCATATATTATATATATATCTGGCAGCTATCTTCTCTCCCACGTTGGTCCTCTGCTCCTCGTGACGGCTTTTTCTTCCTCTCTTACCGTTACGCGAGTGCGTCCTCTGGTGTCTGCTCTCCCCGGCTGGGCTGGGCAGCCCGCGTGTCTGCCCCCTCCTGTCCGCCCGCCCCGGACAGTGTGGCTGTTGGGCGGGCCTGTCCCACGCGCGCGCGCACCGGCGACTCTGAATCACTCAGTGTGAACTCATTATCTCGCCTACTGTTCGCTTCCCCCACGCTAGACTGTCGCCGGCCTCGCCCGCACTCACCGTCTAGCAGCACGGACGCGGGCGTCGGCGCCACGCTAGCCGCTGCCCCAATTGAATAACGCGCGTGAAATGAAATTGCTTCCGGCGCGATGGAATTGCTGAGCTGGCAGCGAGTTATTGTTGGAGGATCGCCTACCCTGCAGCTATGCTGATGCTCCTTGCTCCTGCATCCCTTCTCTATATCTCTGTGTCCGCCCTCTCTGTCTCTCTTCCTTCTTTCCTTTCTGCCTCTTTCACTCCCTCCCCTTCTCACTCTCGCTCACTTGCTCTATCTCTTTCTCCCTCTCTCTCTCGCTCTCTCTCTTCTCTCTCTCTCTCTCTCTCTCTCTCTCTCTC